ACAGATACACACACACACACACACACACACACAGATACACACACACACACACACACACTCACACACTGACAGATACACACACAGGCTGGCACTGAACGATAATCACACACTGACAGGGACTGACACATCAACCAACACTCACACTGACTGAGACACACATTCTGACTGGCACACTGACCCTCGGCAACATAAAGACACACACACTGTTCAACACTCAGATACATCAACACCCACACTCTCACCAACAGTCTCACACTGATCAACACTCTCACACTGATCAACACACACACTCACCGACTGACACACGTGCACTGGCAGACACTCTGAAACTAAGTGATACACAGACACTGACACAGACACCTACTGACTAACACTCACACACATTGACACTCACAATCACAAGTCAGCTAATGCTTTTCAAAAATATGTCTTAGTTTGATGTTGAACCCAAGCTACTGTTCATTCTTGCAGCATATTAAGAACTTCATCAATGAAACATGGATTGAGAGACATGAAACACCATTACAGGAATATTCATTGATGCTCGTTTGGTCCTTCATTGTATCTGTATACCCCATCGGAGGACTGGTAGGAGCACAATTTGCTGCTGCTTTAACGCTAAAGTATGGAAGGTAGGAACATCAGTAATCAGTCTGTGCAACAAATTACAGGACTGCGGGCTGTGTAACTGTCTCATTTTGTAAGCTGTTTGAACTTGGACATAGGAGCTAAGCACTGATCATAAGATAAGACACAGGAGCAGGCTCAGCCCATCAAATCTGCTCCACCATTCAGTGACATCATGGCTAATCTGATTATTCACAACCCCACTTTCCTGCCTTTTCCCCATTATCCTCGATTCCCTTATTGATAAAAATCGGTCAGTCTCAGCCATGAATATACTTTCTGATCCAGCCACAACAAGCCTCTGTGGTACAGAAATCCACAGATTCACTACCCTCTGAGAGAAGGAAGTTCTCCCTATCTCTGTGTTAAATATATGACCCCTTGTTCTGAGTTTATACCCTTTGGTGCTGGACTGTCCCACAAGGAGAAACAACCTTTCCTCATCTACCTTGTCAAGTTCTCTAAGAATCTGATATGTTTCAAAGAGGTTTCCTCTCGTTCTTCTATATTTCAATGGGCACAGAGCCAACCTACCCAACCTCTCCTGAGAAGACAGACCCCCCCCAATACTCGGTATCAGCCCAGTGAACCTTCTCTGGACTGTCTCCAATGTCAGTATGTCTTTTCTTGGATAAGGGGCACAAAACCGTTCATATTATTCCAGCTGTGGTCAGACTAGTGCCTTGAGCAGTTTTCGCAAGACCTCCCTAATTTTATACTCTGTTCCCTTTAAATAAATACAGGTCACCATTCCAATTGCCTTCCCTATTACTCACTGAGGTTGGATGCTATGGATAAGAACTTCCAAATTGCTCTGTCCTGAAGCTTTTTGCAGTATTTCTCCATTTAAATAATATTCAGATCCTCTCTTCTTCCTGCCAAAGTGCACACCCATACATTTCCCCACATTATATTTGATCTACCAGGTTTTTGCTCACTGGCTTAACCTGCAGGCTTAACCGCTGCAGACTTTTTGTGTCATTCTCAATACTTACCTTCCAACGTACTTTTGTACCATCCACAAATCAGGCAACAGTACATACACTACCCTCATCTGAGTCATTCAGATATATTGTGGGGTGCGACTGATATAGATATTTACCAACAGAAATGTAAAAACAGCAGCACAGAAGCTCCAGCAGCATCAGAGGAGCAGGAAAGCTGGCGTTTCGGGCCTAGAACCTTCTTTTCTGAAGAAGGGTCTAGGCCCGAAACATCAGCCTTCCTGCTCCTCTGATGCTGCTTGGCCTGCTGTGTTCATCCAGCTCCACACCTTGTTATCTCAGATTCTCCAGCATCTGCAGTTCCTACTATCCCCAGCACAGTAGGTCCTACAGCAATAAGTCAGTAATGTATGGAGAAGATCAGGTGAGTTGTGGATTAAGATGATGGGAAAAACAGACTGAGGGATTGAGGGAAGGTTTTCCTTAAGGACATGAAGATAGTTTGCAAGGTGCAGTGAGAGAGTGGAGGTGGATGGACTGTGGGAATGAAGATGGTCAATGAAGACTGCACATGTGAATATCTGCTCAGACATGGTGAGAAATTCTAAGCTGAGGGTATATGTAAATACATGGAATTCAAATAGCTTGGGCAGGGTGTAGTGAATATTACAGCCTTTAGCTAACAAAACTTTCAGCGAAATTAAATACTAAAAGGTAAAGTTACCATAGTCCTAACAAACCATGGGGCTGCTCTCCTATTAGAGAGGGACAATGAGTCGTGGCTTAACCCAAGGGTCACTGCACTTCAGGTGAGGGGCGAGATTGAGAAAGTGGGACTTTCACGGTAACGTCAGCCAGTGTGGGAATGGGACCTGCACTGTTGGCATCAGTGTGGAAGCCTGCAGTCAGACATCTAATCTAACTGACCCCCTGTATAATAAAGCACGATGAGTAAATTAATCCGCTATGCCGCCTAATAAAGACGAGGGATGAAAATTCAGTAGATATTTTCAATTGGGCGGCATTCATTCTGACTATGGAGAGATGACTCACATGTGAATGATAAATTAATTCTGAACTGCTTTTTACTGATTATTTATCTTGTTTGATTACTTCTTGAAGCTCCATTGAAGAGTGTTTGGATACTCTATTTTGCTGAGCTTAGAAGATTAATTATTATTTCATGTTATTTAATAAAGATAATAGCTGTTCCGAATACATCCAACTATATCTGCATACTTGTGTTTCAGAAAGAAATCCCTGCTTTGTAATGACATTGTGACAATTGTGGCTGCGCTAATAATGGGCTTCAGCAAGATGGCAAGGTCATTCGAGATGATTGTGGTGGGAAGATTCCTGTATGGACTTAATATTGGTAAGAAGCTGGTATGCATCTTGGGCAGACATTAAAGGGAAGGTGAAGTGGAAATATTATTCTGGCTCAAACATCCCCTAAGATCCTGAGACCCACAAGTCCACCAAATTCACTTTACCTTTGTAAACAGCAGATAAACCCACAATATCCTTTAGCCCCAATTCCACAAAGTCACATGATAAAGCCAGTAACATCCAAATGCCCCTTTTCCAATTCTCATAATTCATAAATATATACATCCCCTACAATTCACAGGCGAATTGATGATAAAGGTCGGAATGTGATGATAGTAAAATGTAAGGTATGCAGGTTAGTTTGATCTTAGAGTAGGATAATAGATCGGCACAACCCCAGGAAGACTGTATCTAGAGTACTGTTTACAGTTCTTTTGCTCCTTGGAGGTTATTTAGAGACAATTTGCCTGACTGATTCCTGGGACGAATGAACTATCTCAAGTGGAGGAGTTGAACAAGTTGGGCCAGTAGATAGGTTAGAAGAGTGAGAGGTGATCTTAAAGCAACCTTGGCATGGCCAATGCTCTAAGCATGTTTCCTCCTTTGGGAAGGCACAGTTTAAAAATTAGGGATCCCCCAGTTAAGACTGAGATGGGGTGAGATACTTCCTCTTGGAGGGCTGTTGGTTGGAACTGTTTTACTCAGCAAGTAGTAGGGGCCGGTATTGAACATATTAAAAATTGAATTACAGAAATATTTGGTTGAAAAGGGAATCAGGTGTTAAGGGGGACAGCAAGAAAGTGGTGTCAAGTCTACAGTCAGACCAACTGTGATCTTATTGAATGGCAGGGAATGCCCAATCAACCTAAAGGCCAACTCCTGCTATTGATTAATGTGTTCTTATGATCTGCTTTGAACATTACAGTCCCTGCCCACCTAAAACATCCCTGTTCAAAACATCCAACTACATGTGGAGCTGGAAACAACAGGGAAATACATTCATGTTACAGTCAGAATAATCTTGTATATGTTCTTAGGCAGGAATCAGGAATGAGTAGCTTTCACTTGGTCGAATTATTCTTGATTATCAAGGGGATCAAGAGTAACGGGGAGAAAGCAGGAGAATGGGGTTGAGGAACTTATTAGCCATGATTGAATGGCGGAGCAGACTCGATGGGCCGAATGGCCTGTTTCCACACTGTAGGGATTCTATGACTCAGAGTTTGCAGATTCCACAATAAACCTTTATTACCCATTCCATAAGCCCATAAGACATAGGAGCAGAAATTAGGCCATTCGTCCCAACTAGTCCACACCGCCCCTCCGAAGAGCATCCCACCCAGGCCCCTTCCCCTATCCCTGCATTTCCCATGTCTAACCCACCTAACCTAAACATTCCTGAACACAATGGGCAATTACCATTGGCCAACCCACTAGCCTGCACATCTTCGGACTGTGGGAGGAAACTGGAGCGCCCGGAGGAAACCCACGCAGACACAGGGGAAACATGCAAACTCCACACAGACAGTCACCTGAGGATGGAATCGAACCCAGGTCCCTGGCGCTGTGAGGCAGCAGTGGTAACCACTGAGCCACCGTGCCGACTCTCTGTCAAAGGAGGGACAAGATATTCCTGAAGGGAGAGGTGGGGAATGGGTTTGGAAATGAGTGCCCTCTCTCTGACACCTCAACGTCCCTCCTGTACATTCATTAACCTTCAATCACAAGCCAACATCTCCCATGATTTGTTGAGGATGTTTTGGTGCATTCAGTTATATCCTCAAAACGTTCCTGAGGTGTTTTCCCTGCGCTCGTGGGAGTCTCCTGCGATGGGCAGGCTCCGAGCGGAGCTGTTGCTTTGAACGCCTGGTGTCAGAAACCTCGGGCCTCAGCAGAGCTAGTTTGGAATGAATAATATAAGGTTGGACTGGAAGAGATTCCTGCTCCTACGCTGCTGTTTTTAACCACCAACCTTCTGGCATTTTGCACTCCACTGTCATCGTGCTATTTCACTTGATCAGGCAATGTGTAACGCAGACCAAAAACATCACAAGAATTTGCCCATTTATGATAATTGTACCAGGTGAGGCCTGGTATTAGTCATGGCTCTAAGGAGGAAGAACTACATCTTCTTTGAGAACTAGCTGATGGGAGCATTGACATCAATAAAAACATAGCAACAGTAGTAGACCGTTCAGCTCCTCAAGCCTTTCAACAAAACATGGCTGATCATCATTAGAATAGAACCCTTACAGTGTGGAAGCAGGCCATTTGGCCCATCAAGTGCACACTAATCCTCTGAAGGGAATCCCACCTAGACCCACACCCCGTAGCCTATAACCTTGCATTTCCCATGGTTAACCCACCTAGTCTACACCTCCCTGGACAATTTAGCATGGGCCAACCCACCTAACCTGCACTTGTTTGGACTGCGGGAGGAAACCGGCGCACCCAGAGGAAACCCACGCAGACACAGGGAGAATGTACAAACTTCTCACAGACAGAGGGTGCAATCAAACCCGGGTCCCTGGCACAGTGGGGCAGCAGTGCCAACCACTGAGACCCCATGCTGCCTCCTTAATGCCACTTTCCTGCACTGTCTCCCTATCCCTGCCCAATGTCATTGGTCTCCAGAGATCCATTGATTTCTGACTTGAACCTGCTCAATGACTGAGCTTCCACAGCCCTGTCAGGTATTGAAATCCAAAGATTGATCACCCTCTGAGAAATTCCTCCTCACTTAAATGGTCCAGCCCACATTCTGAGATTATGGCCCTGGTTCTGGTCTCAGCAGTCCAGCCTGTCAGACCCTGTAAGAATTGTTGGAGTTTCAGTAAGATCATCTCTCATTCTTCTAGAGAATATAGGCCCAGTCTCGTTCCTCTTTGTCTCTTTGTGGAACCCCCTCTATGGTAAGTATATCCTCCCTTAGGTAAGGAGGCCAAACCTCTACACAATATCCCAAAATGTTAATGTGCTCATGCAATGCAGTGTCACTTACCTATCCCTAATTGCTGAGAAGGCAGTTAACAGTCAACATTGCTGTGGGTCTGGAGTCACACGTAGGCCAGACCAGGTAAGGACGGCAGTTTTCTTCCCTAAAGGACATTAGTGAACTGAATGGATCAGATGCCAGTTATAGAAAGACCCCGAATGTTATTTACAATGAGGGCATCAACCCACACAGCGATCAGGCTTTTTCTGCAGGAACCAGATGATCCCTAACACCCAGTTTTAATGTCTGAGTGGCAAGTTGAACATTTTTCTCGATTCTCATAACCGAAGCTTGACCACATTCAGTCTCTCTTAAAACCTTAAACCCACAAATGAGCTACTGATGTTAGATCTGGCTGCTGTCTGCAAGAACTGAAACATAGAAAATTAGAGCAGGAGTAGGCCATTTGGCCCCTGAAACCTACCCCACCATTCAATATGATCATGGCCAATCATCCAACTCACTACCCTGTTCCTGTTTTCTCCCCGTACCCTTGGATTGCTTCAGCCCTAGGAACTACATCTAACTCCTTCTTGAAGATATTCAATGTTTTGGTCCCAAACACTTTCTGTAGCAGAGAATTCCACAGGCTCCCCACTCTCTGGGTGAAGACATTTCTCCTTATCTCAGTCCTAAATGGCCTACCACATATTCTTAGGCTGTGACCCCTTGATTCTGAGCAACCCTGATCGCTGGGAACATCCTTCCTGTGTTTACCCTGTCTAGTCCTGGTAGAATTTTATAGGTTTCTATGAGATCCCCCCTCATTCTCCTAAACTGCAGTGAATATAGTCCTAACCAATTCAGTCTCTCTTCATGCATCAGTCCTGCCATCCCAGGAATCAGTCTGATAAATATTTGCTGCACTCCATCCATAGCCAGAACACCCTGCCTTAGATAAGGAGACAAAAACTGCACACTAGGTGTGGTCTCATCAAGGCCCTGTATAATTGCAGCAAGACATCCCTGCTCCTGTACTCAAATCCTCTCACTATGAAGGCCAACATACCATTTGCCTTCTTCACCGCCTGCTCCTCCTGCAACGCTTACTTTCAGTGACTGATGTACAAGGACACCCAGGTCTCATTGCACCTTTCCCTGTCCCAATCTATCGCCATTCAGATAATATTCTGTCTTCCTGTTTTGCTAGCAAAGTGGATAACCTCACATTTATCTGCTATGCATTTGCCCACTCGCTCAGCTCAAGCTGTTTCACTGGCCCATCTCTCATCGCTGTTACTGATGCACATTCTCTATCCTGTTTCTTTCTAAAAGGTATTGGATTAGTAGCTCATGGCCTATACCTTGGAGAAATTGCACCGAAGGAACTGCGAGGTGCCGTGTGTATGACCCGAGCTGTATTTGTTGCCTTTGGGAAATGGATGGGTCTGGTAATTGGACTCAGGTAAAGCTTGAACTGCTGTTGTAAGAATGTATTCTGCACTCTATTCTGCTGCCGGGATACACTTTTGTATGGTATGATCTGCCTGTAGAGCACGCAAAACAATACTTTTCGCTCTATCTCGCTACAGTGACAATTATGAAGCAATCAATCAATCAAACTAACTGCTCGACTATCAACAACTGTGTGTGAGGTTTTCACTTGCAGCTCAGACAACATGGCCCCATCATACACAGAGCACTTCTGACAGCGGAGTTTTATCATGATTGAAGTCTCTCGATGCGAAATTCAGCTCTGCAACCTTCACAGATTTGGTGTCACTTAGTAGAAAATTCTCATCTGTGCTGTGTTCACCCACTTCCAACATGGCTCGTCCTGAGTCTATTTTATTAGTGTACAGATCTCCAAAAGGCACCATCCTTTGGGACAGCGGAATAGCATCATGCCTCGTGACACTCTAGCATAACACAGGTTTGCATCTTACCCAGTCAGGCTTGTCTGTTAGAAAGCGGTAGTTAATCTGCTTGTCAACGATATTTGTATTATTAGAGAGTAATCTATGTAAGCATATAACCCACACTACAAGCAATCTTGCGGCAGGTTTAAATAATAACTAGTTGATTGTATATTAAAGAGCTATGGACAACTTTTACAGAAGACTGACTAACCTCTACTGAAGCACCTTTCAAATGCTTACCACACTGATCCTTGAGCTGAGGTTCTGCTTCCTTTAGGATGTCATTCCATCACCACCATTTCTCCACAATGTCCCACCTTCCTATCCACCCATGACATCCCATTAAGCATCCGCTTGGCCCTGTGGGTCTGATTTCAGCACCTCCTCAGAATGGACAGCAACAGTGAAACTGAATGCAAGAGGGTGGTAGCACAAGTGCTGTCATCCTGTGAGAGGATGGCCCATAGCACCCCAGCTGCTCCCAGAGAGTGGAGCCTCAGCAATAGTAACAGCTGGCTGGACTGTTGTGAGAGACTGAGATGATCTGGATATCCAGAGCGAATGGAGCCCGCACAACATCCAGCTGAGCCAGCTTGGCTTGCGTGAGCTCCGTCACAGCTCCTGCCAGAGCACCGAGGTATCTGAGGATTTCCCACTGGCGCTGAAATGGAAGCTGGGGCACTGCATCGTGGCTGTGCCCCCACAGCTGCTGCCAGGGTGTCACACAAGGAGAAGGATGGTCTTTGAGATGGCAGCAATCTTCTCTGCCAGGTTGGAGCTGGACTCCTCTAACAGTGACAAGGCTTGCCAAGCATCTCGTTGTGGATTCCCATTGGCATTTCCCATCCACCACCCCGTTGAAATCCTCATGTGAATCGCCCGCAGCATTCTAGAGAGCTGACCCATGATCTATACCAACCGCTTGAATGGCTTGCAGCCCACATGCTGCACTAACCTTCAGGGTCCATGCAGAGCCAGCACCTGATCTGCCAGTATCACACCAAGTCAGGGTGCTGCTTCAATACAGCGCAGTAACAGCTTCCCACTGTGATAACATGCAGAGTGCATTGGTGCTTCAGTAAAGGCTAGTCAGGCTTCTGTAAAGCTGTTCATAGCTCCTTAGTATATCAACAACTAGTTATTGTTAAATTGTTAAATCTCTCTCATCAAGATCCACTCTGTCCCTCATCAACATTCACTCTGTCCCTCATCAAGATCCATTCTGTCCCTCATCAAGATCCATTCTGTCCTTCATCAAGATCCATTCTGTCCCTCATCAAGATCCATTCTGTCCTTCATCAAGATCCACTCTGTTCCTCATGAAGATCCACTCTGTCCCTCATCAAGGTCCACTCTGTTCCTCATGAAGATCCACTCTGCCCCTCATCAAGGTCCACTCTGTTCCTCATGAAGATCCACTGTGTCCCTCATCAAGATCCACTGTGTCCCTCATGAGGATCCACATTAACCTGGCAGCAGTGCTTGGGAACCTGAAATGAGGAAATGAGAAGTGGAAGATGAACAGAGGGAGTGGGGAGTGGGAAAACGGGCAGTTAGAAAGAAAGAGGCTCGCGGTTACACAACCTGCAGCTTGCATTTTATGTCAGATGACAGGATAAAGATGAATTGAAATTCATTAGGGTCCAAGGCAGGATCATCCTGAATGGTCGGAGTAGCACCGGTCTCTGTCATAAGGTGTGGGTTGGGGGTGGGGACGGGGGGCGATGTTCTGGTCTCTTTTGGCAGGATGTAGCTGTCCCCATTGGTTCTGCCATGCTCCCTGCAGTTATAGGCCAATCTGCTCTGCAAAAGAGAGGAAAAGATATCCATTCTTGTACTGTATAGTGTTTAGATGATGACTGCTGTTGCTGAGTAGCTGAAGGTTTATGGAGCAGTAGGATGGGTTTGAGGTTTGTACCTTTGGAAGGTATGTGAGTGCGAGGGAGAAGAGGAGGTACATGGTAGGGCCTGAGTCCTGAGTGCAGCTGGGTGAATGAGGAGGCTGCACTGAGCATTATGAGAGTCTGGTCATGTCGTGAACTGGAAATATCATGGTTATATAGATTTGCCGAGCTTGTTCACCTGCAGGAGGTGACTGAGCTTCTTGAGGCACTGATTCCTGGGACCAGACACCAATGTGTTAACCTCCCTGGCCAGTTACAGGCATTCCTGGAGGAAGCAGTGGTGTATTGGTAACGTCACTAGACCAGTAATCTGGAGCTCCCAGGATAATGTGATGGGCACGTAGATTCGAATCCCAACGTGGCAGATGGACAAGTTTGAATTCAATAAAGGGCTGGAACATTATGAGTGACACAGTGGCTTGACCATTAACATTGCTGCCTTAAAGCACCAGGGACCTGGGTTCAATTCCACTCTAGGCTGACTGTCTGTGTGGAGTTTGCACGTTCTCCCCGTGTCTGTGTGGGTTTCCTCTGGGTTTTCCGGTTTCCTCGCACAGCCTAAAGATGTGCAGGCTAGGTGGATTGGCCATGGAAAATGCAAGGTTACAGGGGGTAGGGGGGTGGGTCTGAGTCTGGATGGGATGCTCTTTGGTGGGTCGGTGCAGACTCACTGGGCTGAATGGCCTGCTTCCACACTGGAGGGATTCCATGATTCTTTCTAGGAATGCTCCTCAAAATCATCCCGGCCTCCTAGAAACAGTGTTTCTCTTCTCCTCGTGGTTTCCTGGAGTAAGACCTTCAGTGCTTCAGCCGAGACTCTGAAGGGACAGACTCTTTCCTATGGTTCGATTTGAAGTGTTTTTCCATCCTGTCAATCCCTACAGTGACAGGAGGCCATCTTTATGACAGATACCGATGGCACAATGTGACCGAAACCCAACAGGAAGATTAAAAACTGCTAAAAAAAAGGAAATTCAGAAAGCAATGAGAGCACATGAGAAAACTAGAAAAGAAAGGAAAAGGGTCTAGGCCCGAAACGTCAGCCTTCCTGCTCCTCTGATGCTGCTTGGCCTGCTGTGTTCATCCAGCTCTACACCTTGTTATCTCAAAATCTCCAAAAGGGTTTTTTTTTAAATATACAAGACAATAAATAGGGAACGATCATGGCCCCTTAGGGACCATGGGGGTAATCTATGTTTAGATCTAAAAGACATGCGCTCAGCCCTCAGTGAGCATTATCAGTCTTCACAATGGGTGCAGGTATAGACAAGGTGAAAGACGTTGAAATATTAGAAGAAATTAGCAGATAGAGAAAGAGAGAGAAAGAGAAAGAGAGAGGGAGAGAGGAGGTGGAAGCAGATTTAAACATGGATAAATGCACAAGCCCAGATTTGCTGTATCCCAGGCTGTTGACATGGCAAGGGAGGGCATGTCAGAGACTCTGGTAATAACCTTCAAATCCCAAAATTGCTGGTGAAACTCAGCAGGTCTGGCAGCATCTGTGGGAATGAAGCACAGTCAATGTTTCCAGTCTGGTGCCTCTTTACCATAATGGACCGGCCAGGTTTCTCCAGCAATTTCTGTCTCTGCTTCAGATCTCCAGCATCCGCATTTCTTTGTTTTCTTTCAAATCAAATCCTCTCTGGCCATGGGTGAGGTGCCGCAGGACTGGAGCACTGCTAATGGTCGTCCCATTATTGAAAAAGACTGGAAGGAGTAGACCGGGAAATTCAGAGATAGTAAGAACTGCCGATGCTGGAGTCAGAGTCAACACAGTGTGGAGCTGGAGGAACACAGCAGGCCAGGCAGCATCAGAGAATCAGAGAAGTCGACATTTTGGGTCGGGACCCTTCAGCAGGGAAGTTATTACAAAGAATTCTGAGAGACATAATGTATCTGCACTTGGAGAGAGGCACATCAATTGGAGTAGTTGGCATGGATTTGTTAAGAGATGGTTGTATTTGACAAATTTGATTGAATATTTAGTGGAAGTTGTAGAGGGTAATGCTGCTGATGTGGTCTACATGGATTTTAGCAAGGTTTTTGATGAGGTCTCTCATAGCAGACTGGTCAAGAAAGTCAAAGCCAATAGGATCCAAGGCAGAGTGGCATATCAGAACCAAAATTGGCTGAGAGGCACGAAGCAGAGGGTGACGGTACAGGGACATTTCTGTGACTGGAAATCTGTTTCCAGTGGGGTTCTGCAGGGTTTGGCGCTGTTTGCAATGTTCATTAATGATTTCGTTTTAAATGCAGGGGACATAATCAAGACATTCAAAGACAATATGGAAACGGATCGGGTGGTAAATAGCGAGGATGATAGCTATAAACTGCAGAGGGATATCAATGGGCTGGTCAGCTGGGCAGTGTGGCGGCAAATGGAATTCCACTTGGAAAATTGTGAGGTGATGCACTTGGGGAGGGCTAGCAAGGCAAGAGATGACACTATGAATGGCAGAATCATCAAAATACTGAAAACCTGAGGGACCTTGGAGTGCATTTCTCTGAAGATGGCAGGACAGGTAGATAGGTTGGTTAAGAAGACATGTGGGATACTTTGTCTTTATCAGCTGAAGCATTGAATGCAAGAGCAAGGGGGCAATGTTGGAACACTATAAAACACTGGTTAGGCCACAACTGGAGTATTGTGTGTGCAGTTCTGGTCACCACCACATTATAGGAAGGATGTGATTGCATTAGAGAGAGTGCAAAGGTGATTTACCAGGATGCTGTCTGGGCTGGAGGGTCTGAGCTATGAGGACGGATTGGAAAGGCTGGGATTGATTTCCTTGGAGCAGTGAAGGTTGAGAGGGGACCTTATAGAGATACAGATAGGGTGGATGGTAATTTATTCATTAGTAGAAGGGTCAATAACCAGGGGGGATAGATTTAAGCTAAGAAGTAGAAGGCTAAGGGGAGAGTTGAAGAGATTTATTTTTCTCGTCAGAGTGTGGTGGGTGTCTGGAACTCAGTACCTGAGAGTGTGGTTGACTGCTACTTTTCCTACATTCTGACATACTTCATTTCAAAACTACTTGTTTGGTTGTAAATGCTTTGAGATTGAGTAAAGTGCAGAGGCGTAGAAACTTATTTAAGACAGTGGTTCTGGGTCACTCTGAAGACAGGTTGGTCCAGTAATTAATCTTGTTGTGCACTTCTCTATTCCTCTCCAGGCAAATTCTAGGCAATGAAAATACCTGGCACTTACTGCTAGCCTTCAGTGGACTGCCTGCCCTGATACAGCTCGTCACATTGCCATGGTTCCCCGAGAGCCCCAGATATCTACTCATGGAGAGAGGAGACACAGCTCTCTGCGTCAATGGTCAGTGCAAATACAGGCCACTTGGCATATGCTTTTCAAATTAAACCAGTAGTTTGTTGCTGTGTAGATCCAAAGAGCTGTGTGTAGTTTCATTGGCTGTTTTACAAAGATTACCAAGGTAAATCAGATAAAGGCGAGTTGGAATGGTCCAGCACGCATTGGGCCTATTTGTTGGATAAACTTCTCAGACTGAAGTTTTATAAAACGGAAGAGGGAATTTCGATGTTTGATGATATTGTAAGATGTGGGATATTGATTAAGGATTGATTGTTTCTTCCTCCAAAGTCAATTAGAAGGGAAATCAAAAAAGATAGAAAATAGGCCACCAACCAGCTGTACAGCAGTGAATCCCAAACCCTCTTCCCCCATGACCCCATTTGGGAGATTAAAATAATCAGGATCTGTGCAAGAGATTCTGATAGTATCAGAGCTGTGAGACGGGGCGTAGGGGGATCCAGACACAGGCTGACATAACACACCACACATTCACTCCTTCTGTTTCTCTCTCACACTTTCTCTTACTCAAACTCTCTCACACTTCACATTCATTCACTCACTCTCACACTATCACACACGTTCTTTCCACATTCACTCACACTCATTCACACTCCCACACTCTTATACACACACTCACTCTCTCACCGTCTTTCACACACTCTCACACACACTTTCTCACACTTGCTCACACTCATTCATAGTTTTATGTTCTCTCACACTTCTTCACATTCATTCTCATTCTCACTCTCCCTCTCACTCACTCACACTCTCTCTCACACACACTCGCTCTCACAGTCACACACACTGTCACTCATTCACAGTCTCTCAGACTCACTCACACGCTCTCACACTTTCTCACACTCTTTTCCACACTGACTCTTACACTCATGCACACTCTCTCAGCACTCTGTCAGACAGTCTCTCACACACTCTCTTACACTTACACTCACTCACTCTCCAGCAAAATATTTCCTCACACTGTCACACTCATTCATCACACACTCTCTCTGTTGCCAGTTCTCTCACACTCTCTCTAATTCTTTCATATATACACACTTATTCAAACTCCCCCACCCTCTCTGTCTCTATCTGTCACAGATACTTATGCGTGCTCTCTCACACGCACTCTTTTGGACACACTCTCCACACCCACACACATACTGCTACACATGCTCTGTTACTCTCATGCTCACTGTCTGTCACAGATACTCACTTAGCCTCACTCCCACTTAGTCACTCGCTCACACTGTCTTTCTCAAACTGGGATGGAGGCTGCATCAGGGCGCGTACATGGGGATGGGGTTGGTCAGGAAGCTGAGGTAGGAGAGCCATTTGCACTGGTTAGAGCATTCTCCAACAGGATGGCTCAGGATGTGAGGCAGGTGAGAAAGACCAGAGGAACATCACTGATTCTGGCATCTTCTCAATGGGCCAGTGATTGCTGTTGTTCAGAATGACAGTGATTCTCAGCTGTCAATGAGGATGGTCTGAAGCAGACTGGCTGCTCTGGGCACTAACCATCTCGATTGTCTGGTATTTGGCCAATGAGCCTGGCGCTGATGTTTAACTCTTCTGCAATTGCTATATTGGCCTTGCCTCACTCCACAGTGACCTTTACAGGTTTGGGGATCATGACACCTGGATTTGATCAACCGGTCCCCACTGGGATCCCAGCCGGAGTTCAGGAAGCTCTGATCCAAGGCAACAGTTCGTCGATCAAAGTCAACCACTGTCGCTAGGTCAGAAACCTGGAAATTTCCTTACAGCAGGAACCTACAGCACACAGGCTGAGTGATGTGAATAGGCAGCTCACCACCACTTTCTCGAAGCAATTAGGGATGGACAACAACATCCTAGACAGTCAGGAATGTTCACATCCCGTGAAACTATAAAAAGTAATATGAAGACCGGGAGAGAGCTTTAAAAAAAAGGTTCAAATGTAAAGAGGAGCTCAGCCAGAATATTAGCTTCTTTTGATTGCCCTTCTGAAGAGTGAGACTGCCCATATGCTAAGCTGTTACACATCCAGTGACCTTCACTGGTGCACAGTGCGAGGGCTTTCTATATGCCCTCCCTTAACTCCTATGTCCAGAAGGGTCACATCAGCACCTGAAATGTTTGAGACTTGGTTTGACTGTTCACTGGGGTTTAGTAGCTGTGTCACTCTGTGAATGCACTATATACAGTGGCTCACCTCACCAGAATTCCATCACTTAATCCCTTTCAATAAGCTTTGATGAGATATGGGCATCACTGGCAAGGCTGGCATTCATTACCCTTGAACTGAGTGTCTTACCATTTCAGAAGGAGGTAAGGGTCAACCACATGGCTGTGAATTTGGGGTTAATGTAGGCCAATAAATGACATTAATGAACCCAATGGTTTTTACAACAATCCATGGTCATTGTCATGGCTTTCATAACTGTGAGGAGTTTTATGTCAAATTTACCACATTTAATTTCCACTGGCTGCAATGATGGGATTTGAACCCATAGTTATGAGGCAGGAACATGACCACTACACCATCCCCTCTTTAGGACTGATTTCTACCAAGTGCATCATGATGTGCATGACTTTCTCATAGTAATTACAAACATTTTAGACATTGTGCTGCTCACGGTGATATGGCTACAATCGATGATGCCCTTAGGGTAAGTGAGCAGTGCGATACACCCTTTCCTCCTACAGCTAATGATCCCTGTTTATGTTGATAAAGAAACAGGTTCTTTACAGACTGAAGGCATAGAATCTTACAGCACAGATTGGAGCCATTTGGCCCATCATACCACTGCAAGATTTTTGAAAGAGTTCGAAGGGCTATTGGGTGGCGTACTGACTGATATCTGTTTGTGAGACCTAGGAGTGTGGAATTTAAAGTGAGAGTAGGGGTGGTTTTTATCGTCATGTTAAACTCCAAACATTGTTGAGTGTATTGTATAATTGTTCCGATGGAGCGTTAGTACTAAACTCTCCAATTACATGGGACGTGTACTGTATACAGTAAGCTGGATATAGTGGCCCTTAGATCGATTACAATAATCTAGCCATTGAGTGGGTAAAGGCACACTCCAGTGTAGAAGAAATTGCAGACGGCTTATGACAGTAGCTTTTGACCCAAGGAATCTTCCGGGGTGAAAGGCCCAGAAATGGATGCGTGCAGAGTGAAGGGCTAACTGTTGCAGCAGAGTATCACAGACCTTCTGAATCATGGCCAGCCCTGAGGAGGCTGAGACACTTTCCACTGGCAGGATCTGCATCTGTTGTGATGGACCCACTGCCTTGTGTGTGGGTGTGTGTGTGTGTATATGTGTGTGTATGTGTGTGTGTGTGTTTGTGTGTATGTGTGTGTGTGTGTGTATGTGTGTGTGTTTGTGTATGTGTGTATGTGTGTGTGTGTGCATGTGTGTGTGCATGTGTATGTGTGTGTGTGCATGTGTGTGTGTATGTGTGTGTATATGTGTGTGTGTGTATGTGTGTGTATATGTGTGTGTGTGTGTGTATGTGTGTGTGTCTGTGTGTGTGTGTTGGGGGGGGGGAGGGGTGGAGGAGCTCGAACAGTTCATCCACTTCACCAACACCTTCCACCCCAACCTTAAGTTCACCTGGACCATCTGTAATACCTCTCTCTCCTTCCTGGACCTCTCTGTCTCCATCTTGGGCAACCACCTAGAAACCAATATCCATTTCAAGCCCACCGACTCCCACAGCTACCAAGAATACACCTCCTCCCACCCACCTTTCTGCAAAAATGCCATCCCATATTCCCAATTCCTTCGCCTCCGCTGCATCTGCTCCCAGGATGAGGCATTCCACTCCCGTACATCTCAGATGTCCTCGTTTTTCAAGGACCGCGACATCCCCCCCTCAGTGGTCGAGAACGCCCTCAACCGTGTCTCCCGCATTTCCCGCAACTCATCCCTCACACCCCGTCCCCGCGATAAGAACCAAAAAAGAATCCCCCTCGTGCTCACGTACCACCCCACCAACTTTCGGATCCAAAGCATCATCCTCCGACACTTCCGCCATCTGCAATCCGACCCCACCAGCAAAGACATCTTTCCCTCCCCACCCTTATCTGTCTTCCGGAGGGACCACTCTCCGTGACTCCCTTGTCCGCTCCACACTCCCCTCCAGCCCCACCACACCCGGCACTTTTCCCTGCAATTGCAGAAAGTGCTACACCTGCCTCCATACCTCCTCCCTCACCCCCATCCCAGGCCCCAAGAAGACTTTCCACATCAAGCAGATGTTCACCTGCACATCTGCCAATGTGGTACACTGTATCCACTGTACCCGTTGTGGCCTCCCCTACATTGGGGAAACCAAGCGGAGGCTTGGGGACCGCTTTGCAGAACACCTACGCTCGGTTCGCAATAAACAACTGCACCTCCCAGTCGCGAACCATTTCAACTCCCCCTCCCATTCCTCAGATGACATGTCCATCCTGGGCCCCCTGCAGTGCCACAACGATACCACCCGAAGGTTGCAGGAACAGCAACTCATATTCCGCTTGGGAACCCTGCAGCCCTATGGTATCAATGTGGATTTCACAAGCTTCAAAATCTCCCCTCCCCCTACCGCATCCCAAAACCAGTCCAGCTTGTCCCCGCCTCCCTAACCTGTTCTTCCTCCCACCTATTCCCTCATCCCACCTCAAGCCCCACCCCCATCTCCTACCTACTAACCTCATCCCATCCCCTTAGCCTGTCCGTCCTCCCTGGCCTGACCTATCCCCTCCCTAACTCCCCACCTACACTCACCTTTACTGGCTCCATCCCCGCCTCTTCGACCTGTCTGTTTCCTGTCCACCTATCCTCTCCTCTATCCATCTTCCATCCGCCTCCCCCTCTCTCCCTATTTATTTCAGAACCCCCTTCCCATCCCCCATTCCTGATGAAGGGTCTAGGCCCGAAACGTCAGCCTTTCTGCTCCTATGATGCTGCTTGGCCTGCTGTGTTCATCCAGCTCTGCACCTAGTTGCTGGGTATGGGAGGTTTGAGTTGTCCAGAAAGGCTGGGACTTTTTCACTGGAGCGTAGGAGGTTGAGAGGCGACCTTATAGAAGTTTATAAAATAATGAGGTGCATAGATAGAGTTAATGGCAGGTATCTTTTCCCTGGAATGGGTGATTTCAAGACTTGGGGGGGGGGACATTTTTAAGGTGAGAGGAGGGAGATTTAAAAAGGACATGAGGGGCAATTTTTTTACACAGAGGGTGGTTCATGTGTGGAATGAACTGGTGGATGCGGGTACAACTACAAAAGACATTTGGATAAATACATGAAAAGGAAAAGTTTGGAGGGATATGGGCCAAGGGCAGGCAGACGGGACTAGTTTAGTTTGGGATTATGTTCAGCATGGACTGGTTGGACCGAAGGGTCTGTTTCCATGCTGTATGAGTCTATGACTCTATGACCTGTTGCTGTCTGGTGCTACATGATACCACAGTTTGTACTTTGTTTAAACACCGAGACCTCGCCAATCTTTCATATGGGACGTTACTGCGCCTTTGAGAGATGTGTTATGTGCTATTTCTGTTGCTGAGGGTTGTTATCATAGTGATGCCGAAATGTCTCTTTCAGATAGGCAGTTGGTAACGGTTTTGAGTTCTCCCTGGGTAGTTTTGTTTTAGAGGCAAAAGAAACATGAGTGTGTGGGTTCAGGCTCACAGAGACCCAAAAGGATTTTGGTTTTGGTTTCCGTTAGTTAGTGGTTTTTTCTGGCTGCTGGAGCTGAAAGCTGGAGTTCTGTGCTGCTAGAGTAAAGTCTTAAAGAGAGAGAGAGAGAGAGAGGCTTGCTCTTAAAAAAAAAAAAAAATCAAAAGGGCCAGATTGTTTCTTTTGGTATTTCTTTCTGTTGGACTGGAGAGAGACAGTACGTGAGAATAGTAACAGTTTTCCTGAATTGCCTTTACCAAGAGTGTGTTAATGGGATGCTGCCTGTATTGGAACAGTTGATGATTAGTGGTTAAATAATATATTAGCTGGTCAAGTACTTCAATAAAGTTATGCCAATCATTCTTTTTATTGTATTTTAACTGTGTTGTAAGAATAAAGTATGTTTTCATTGAAGATTAGTGGTGGACCATATCGAATCATGTCTGGAACATAGCACCTTATACTCACCTCCTTAAAAAACATAAAAATTAGTGCTTAGGCTATCTCCATGGTGTACTTTGGGGGGAATGGCCTGTTACATAGCACATACAACTAACTCATAAGATCTGTTTGTGAGAAATGTGGTCAGTTCTTGTTGTTAACTTCCCTATGCAAAATTAAACACATTTTTCTTCATTTTTTTTAAACAGACTTAAGAGTTCCTTTCCTTCCCTTCAGTTTCTGGGAGAAATTGTTTCCACTGACTGGAGGGTTGGTAAACATGCTTACATAACTGGCAAAAGAAGGTGGGGGCGTGGCAGATGAAAATATTTGATTTTTAAACATCAGGTTTGAAAGATTCATACTGTAACATCAGGAACAAGACTGATTACTCAGTATCTCAAGTCTGTTCCACCACTCAGGGCTGATCTGGGCCTGAACTCATTTATCCACCATTGCACCAATTAGATATGGACGGTGGAACCAGATTGAGTGGAGCTGTCAAGATGGAGCTGGATATTTATTTGTAGAAGAGGCCTTTGCAGAGCTAGAGAGAAAGAACGGGGAATTGGGATTAATTGAATAGCTCTTTCAAAAATTCAGTATAGGATTGATGGGTCGACTGGCCATCTTTGCTGTATGATCCTATGATTTTACATTAATAAAAAGGAACAGCAGTTGGCAATTCAGCTCCTTGACCCTGCCCCACCATTTAATATGATCATGGCTGATTTCATCTCCATCTCAATCCACGTTCCTGCCCGCTCTCCATAACCCTTTAACTCATTACCAATTAAACATCTGTCCATCTCCTCCTTAAATGTGCCAATCCTCAAATCCCTAGCATCCACAGCACTCCAGGGGTGGTGAATTCCACAGAATCACAGATGATGAGATGTAATTCCTCCAAAGAGAAGGAATTTCTCTCATTTTTTCATTAACATATTTTATTTTAAATCAAGTTGTTGAGGTAAAACAGATGACCAACCTGTTATTCAATATTTGTGGCTTGATTGATCACTCTCTCCTCTATTTTGGTCAGATTCTGTAAGCATTGATAAAGGTGATCCTGCATGACTGTAGCCTCCCACCTAAAGTACATTCCCCATGGAGTACAGCTTCCTATGGTGCAGTCGATACAATCCCTTCATGTTCCAGCCCAGGACTGAGCAGCCAAGGAAGGTGTATGGAAGGTGTGAGGGTTGATGATTAACCTTCAAATTGTTCCAATCTATTCTAATTGTGCAATATGAGCAGGAGAGATTTCTGGTCAGCCATATGCTAGAAGGAACATTGAGCTTCTCCCAATGAACTGTTCAAAAATGCAGCTCACCACCACCTTCTCAAGGATAACTAGGGACGGGCAATAAATGCTGGGCCCAGCCAGCGACACCCACATCCCATGAATGAATTAATAAATCACTAATTGCTCTGGATTACTACATCTGTGATGTCTCTCACACACACACGCACAAACACACACATGCGCACACTCACACATGAGCACACACACGCATGAGCACACACACGCGCACACACATACATGGGCACACACACACGCGCACTCACACATGCGCACATTCACACATGCACGCACACATGCACGCACGCACGCACACACACGCGCACACACACATGCGCACACACACACATGCACACACACATGCACGCACGCACACACACATGCACGCGCGCACACACACGCGCACACACACACACAAACCTGCAAACACACACGCAGGCAGACACAAGCACACACACACACACACACACAGAAACACACGCATATGCATACAGACACACACATGCACACACACACACACACAGAAACACACACATGCATACAGACACACGCATGCACATACACATGCACACACATACAGACACAACCACGCACGCACGCACACACACACATACACATGCACATTCACATGCACACATCCACACACGCACAGATATATATATATATACACACACACATACACACACATACAAAGGCACATGCACACATGCACACTCATACAAACACACACACACAGACACACACACACACACTCAGTCACTGGTTGTGAATCCACCCCCATAGGAATACATCGCCTCTTGACTAATGGGGACTTAACCTGTACCAACCATTACAGTCACTTTTGAAATAATGAGCCCATATATTCGCCTGATATGTTCTTAACATGTGGTATGGTGAGCAGAAGTGAATATGACATTCTGAATATAATTTGATTATAGGACATAACTAATGTAGACAAACACAGGATAATGTAGGAAACCACTCTCTGGCTATATCCCCGACATTGTACCATGTTTTAATTACTTCGCTGTGTTGTCCAGCCATTAAAAGTGAGTTGATTTCCATTACACCTGTTTGTGAGACAGTTCCATTCATGGTGCCATTATTTCCCACATTTTCTTCACCTCTGTGCAGAGCTCTACAGGGACCATCATTAAACCACATTGGCCATGTGTTTGTCCACAAATACCAAAGCTCACAATAAACTGCCCTCTTATTTCAGTCACCAAACTGACTCATTATTGAACATTTGTGGAGGACCATTCATTCCAATTCATTGCTTCTGTGGTTTCCCTTCTCCCAAAGCTCTACGAAGACTGTGGGGTCCAGGCGATTTCACTGAGGAGGTTGAAGACATGTTGGCAGAACAGGCGCAGATTCAGGGGACGAGCAAAAAGAGCATCGTACAGCTAGTCAGAGACAAAACGATACGATGCCAGGTCCTGACGGCCGTGGCTGTCAGTACTGGTATGCAGCTAAGTGGTGTCAATATTGTAAGTATCATGTCAGCCTTCAATTGTCTTCCTTGTGCAACAGTTCCATTGTCAGTCCATTCTGCTCCAATAGGAATTAATGACCAGGGAGCTGTCTAACGCAGAATACGTGGAGATGCTGGTGTGGGACTGGGATGGACAATGTCAAAAATCACAGGACATCCAGGTTAAAGTCCAACAGGTTTATTTGAAAACGCAAGCTTTTGGAGCTCAGCTCTTTCCTCAGGCATAGCATCACCTGACGAAGGAGCTGAGCTCTGAAAGCTTGAGTTTTCAAATAAAACTGTTGGACTATAACCTGGTGTGGTGTGATTTTTGACAGATTAAGTTGTGATGGTTTGATGTATCAATCTTACATGATGTTGTGTTCAATAAAATCAAAGGAGGATTACAATAGCACGACTGCAGTAAAGTGTTGGGACATGTCAATGTGGTCTGCCTGTGTAGGACAAGTACATGAGACAGTGCTGGCGATAATATCTTTCGGTTGTTATTTATGGATAGCAGCGTCTCCCTGGAAAGGACAGACCAATGAGCAAATGGGTCAATCTCTCTTGCCCCGCCTTGTGAAAGATTTAGGAATGACACTGGCTCGAGTTTCAAACAGGACATTAGCACATTAGACCCTTTCTTGATATTTACAGCCTATTGGAAGCTTCCACGAGCAGAAAGTGAACTGAAAGGGATGTTGGGAGACTGCAGGTCTAATGATAGTCCCCAAAAATGTGACAAAATCAATCACTGGAGATGATGGAAGGTGCAGACCACCATCTCAGTGTGTGTCAACAGGCAGTTATCCAGCCTTGTTACTGTTGCTGGAAATTTCAATTGGGTCAATGGGCCGAGGAGTGGCAGATAGAGTTTAATTTAGATAAATGTGAGGTTTTACATTTTGGTAAAAACAAACAAGGGCAGGTCTTATAGAATTAATGGCAGGGTCTTGGGCAGCGTTGTAGAACAGCGAGATCTAGGGGTTCAATTGTAACATTCTTGGAAATTTGCATCACAGGTCGATGGGGTGGTTTAGAAGGTGTATAGAACGCTTGCCTTCATTGCTCAGACTTTTGAATAGGAGATGGGACATCATGTTGCGGTTGTACAAGACATCACTGAGGCCTCTTCTGGAATACTCTGGTCGCTCTGTTGTAGGAAGGATATTCTCAAGCAGGAGAGGGTTCAGAAAAAAATTACCAAGATGTTGCTGGGAATGGAGGTTGTGAGTTATAAGGAGAGGCTGGATAGACTGGGGGAGAGACAGTAGGAACTGCAGATGCTAGAGAATCCGAGACAACAAGGTGCAGAGCTGAATGAACACAGCAGGCCAAGCAGCATCATAGGAGCAAAAAGGCTGACGTTTCGGGCCTAGACCCTTCACTGTTTTCCACTGGAGTGTAGGAGGCTGAGGGGTGACCTTATAGAGGCTTATAAAATCATTAGGGGCACAGATAAGGTGAATGACAAAGGTCTTTTCCCTAGGATTGGGGTGCTCAAAACCAGGAGAAAGTTTTAAAAAGGACATGAAGGGTAACGTTTTTACACAGAGAGTGGTAAGTGTGTGGAATGAACTGCCAGAGAAAGTGCTGGATGCAGGTACAGTTACAACGTTTAAAAGACATTTGGAAAGGAACATGAATAGGAAAGATTTGGAGGGATACAGGCCAAACGCAGGCTGGTAGGGTTAAAATTGTTTCAGAGATAGTAGGAACTGCAGATGCTGGAGAATCTGAGATAACAAGGTGTAGAGCTGGATAAACACAGCAGGCCAAGCAGCATCAGAGGAGCAGGAAGGCCCGACGAAAGGTCTAGGCCCGAAACGTCAGTCTTCCTGCTCCTCTGATGCTGCTTGGCCTGCTGTGTTCATCCAGCTCTCCACCTTGTTATCGCAGGCAGGAAGGACTAGTTTAGTTTGGGAACATGGTCCTTGTGGACTGGTTGGACTGAAGGGTCTGTTTCCATGCTGTATGACTCTGCGACACTACACTGCACCCACCCCCCACTCACAGCAGGGTAACTGGTCTCTTGCTCCTCAAAAAGGCCTATGGGCACTTAAATGGGTGGAAGCTGAAGAAACTCATCAATATCCTTCACCAGAAAGAGGGAGGCAGGTCCTGTTGTGGTTGGTGCAGGATGATTATTGATGGAGGAAGAAGGTCTGTTAGTCTCCAAATCTCTGCTCTCTTCTGCCCACCCCAACGTCCATGACTTATATTTCTGTGAAGGCCATGGCCCATTCAGTGCCTTCTGTTAAACAGAATAACGTCATGGAGGACCTCTACCTACCCTCTGGACAAGGTCACAGTGAGTGCCCCATGAATGAGGTGTGTGGCAGTCCGCTTCTGCTATTTGTTATGGAGCCATACAGCGCGGCCGTAGTGACACACAAAGGTGGATGTCTTCCCTCAATGTGAACCCTCTTGTGGAGAAATTGCCCCAGATGCCATACAAGCCACAGGTACTGACCTTGTTTACATGTGTGAGCTTTCCCTTGACAAAGCCATATTCACCTATTCTGGCATCAGATGCAGAAAGATCAGAAGGCAGCCCAGAGATTATAAATACTTTGTGGCTCCAGCCTGCTGCTTCGAGATGTGTTAAAACAACAGATTTGAATGCATTAGGCATTAAAGCAACAACAGTGTTTCACCCTCTGACTATCTGACTAATCTCAAACCAAGAGTAACAGTAGAACTGCATGGATTTGTTGACTGTGGAATGGTAGGCCAAGCACGTAGCAGTCAAATCAGAGCAGCTCCCACTTCCTGAGCAAAATACCCATCTTCCTAAAAATAACTGTAATATTACACTGATACTTCAGGAGGACACATCTCATTATTATGGGACTTTATTTCTATCTTATCAATTCATAAGACAATGTGATTTTGCCGTGACTGTTAAACGTGTTTTGACCAGAAAAAGGAGGAAACACGGGTCCAAGCTCAGACGTTTTGAATTCATGAGGGTCAAGTGACCATGGGGCACCATGAAGTGTCAACGTTAGTTGAAGCATCTCATGTCCAGGAGATGTGCTGGATGAGGTTCAGATGCAAATTGTAGCCCACTGGCAGGGATCAGATATAACCCTGGGCCGGTTATTCCATTGACACTACATGAAAACAATCTCTGGGACCTGCAAGAAATTGGATACAGGCCTCATTACTTGCCCCCTCCACTCCTCCACCCCATTAGGCCCAGGCTCATGTATAGCTCATCAAGAAAGTAGTCATCTTTGATCCATAACTGGCACAGCCGGAAATCCAACACCAAAAGTGGCCACTTTTGACCAACGGGATCTTTAGGGATAGTGAGATAAATTTTCAACTTGCTGACCAGCTACAAAATTGGTGATATTCAATAATGGGCAGACAATTGGCATTGCCAGTTTTATGGCAGGGCAGAAACCTTATCAACTTGCATATGTTTGTCTGAAGAAAGGATTACAAACAAGAAAAATATTGAATGCTGCTTAAAGAAAGTGTCCGAATAAAGTGTTCTCATTGGCTTTCCTGTTTTCCAGATCTACTTTTACGCTTCTGATGTTTATCATCAACTTGGAATCTCCAAGGAAAATATCCCTTTCGTGGGAATAGGATCAAGTGGGATTGAAATGTTGACTTCAGTGATGTGTGTAAGTTTGGTTTAGAGTGGATCACTATTCACAGAGGAACAAAGGCCAAAAAGAAGCTGTGTATATACCTAGGCTCCAAAATGAGAGTCATAGACTTGTACAGTGCAGAGCAGACCCTTCGGTCCAACTTGTCCATGCTGACCAGATACCTAGTCCCATTTGCCAGCATTTAGTCCATATCCCTCCAAGCCCTTCCTATTCATGTGCCCATACATACGCTTTTTACATGTTGCAATTGTAGCAGCCTTCAACATTTTGTCCGGCAGCTCATTCCATACACACACCACACACTGTGTGAAAAAGTTGCCCCTTAGGTCCCTTTTAAATCTTTCCCTTCTTACCTTAAACCTATGCCCTCTAGTTTTGGACTCACCTGTCATGGGAAAAGATCTTGTCTATTTACCCTTAACATGCCGCTCATGATTTCATAAGCCTCTATAAAGTCACCCTTCAGCATCCGACACTCCAGGGAAAACAGCCCCAGCCTATTCAACCTCTTCCTGTAGCTCAAACCCTCCAATGTTGGCAACATTCTTCTAAATCTTTTCTGGACTCTTTCAAGTTTCATAACGCCCTTCATATAGCAGAGAGACCAGAATTGATCGCAGTATTCCCAAAGTGGCCAAACCAATGTCCTGTACAGCCACAATATGACCTCCCAACTCCTATACTCAATGCACTGACCAATGAAGGCCGGTGTACAAACACTTTCTTCGCTGCCCTATGTACCTGTGAGTCCACCTTCAAGGGACTATGCACCTGCTCCCCAAGGTCTCTTTGTTTGGCAACACTCCCCAGGACCCTGCCATCAAATATGTAAATCCTGCCCTGATTTGCCTTACCAAGATGCAAAACCCCAGAGAGCGCTGTTGATACAGGGCAAGAGATTCCTTCTGCACTTTTGCCTCAGTCAGGAGGAGAGCATCAGAAATTGGCTCCACTCAAACAGACATGTACCCACATACATCTTGGATTTCTAAGGATAACTGGCTAGAGAAAAGGAAAAGTTCTGACTGCAAGTTTCCAATCCCCCTTGTATATGGAAGTGGTGCCAGGATGTTGCCGGGAATGGAGGTTTTGAGTTATAAGGAGAGGCTGGATACTGGGACTGTTTTCCGCTGGAGCATAGGAGGCTGAGGGGTGACGTTATAGAGGCTTATAAAATCATTAGGGTCACAGATAAGGTGAATGACAAGGGTCTTTTCCCTAGGATGGGGGTATTCAAAACCAGGGGGCATATTTTAAGGTAAGAGGAGAAAGTTTTAAAATGAACGTAAGGGGTAATGTTTTTACACAGAGAGTGGTAAGCGTGTGGAATGAACTGCCAGAGAAAGTGCTGGATGCAGGTACAGTTACAACGTTTAAAAGACATTTGGAAAGGTACATGAATAGGAAAGATTTGGAGGGATATGAGCCAAACGCAGGCAGGTTGGGAACATGGTCAGCGTGGACTGGTTGGACTGAAGGGTCTGTTTCCATGCTGTATGACTCTGCGACACTACACTGCACCCATCCCCCCACTCACAGCAGGGTAACTGGTCTCCTGCTCCTCAAAGGCCTATGGGCACTTAAATGGGTGGGAGCTGAAGAAACTCACCAATATCCTTCATCAGAAAGGGGGAGGCAGGTCCTGTTGTGGTTGGTGCAGGATGATTATTAATGGAAGGGGAAGGTCTGTTAGTCTCCAAATCTCTGCTCTCTTCTGCTCACCCCAACGTCCATGACTTATATTTCTGTGAAAGGATGGGAATAAATGGTTATTTTTGGAGAGGAAGGTGTTGATGAATAATGTACTGCAGGGATCACTGCTTGGGCTCCAGCTGTTTACAATATGTCTTAAAGATTTGGATCAGGGCATCAAGTGTAATATTTCCTAGATTGCTGATGACACAGAACTAGTTGGGAGTGTGAGTGGTGAGGAGGATGTAAAGAGACAAGAGGATGATTTAGACAAGTTGAATGAGCAGGCAAAGGATCTGGCAGATTCAATATGACATGGATAAATGGGAAGTTATCCACTTTTGTAGAAACCTAGAATGGCAGTGCATTATTGAAATGGTGATAGATTGGGAAAGGGATCTGGGTGTCATTGAAAGAGAGTAAGCAGGTGCAGTAAGCAATTAGGAACGCAAATGGTATGTTGTTCTTCATTGCATGAGGTTTGAGGTTCAGGACCAAGGATATCTTAATGCAGGGCCTTGGTGAGACCAAACCTGGAGTATTGTGGCAGAATAACACATTAAACCTCAGTAAAATACAGGTTTATAATTTTCACTGATTTATTGAGTTTTTTCTGTGACGATGCTGTCAGTTTCAAAGGTTATTTTATCCTGTTTTTTTTAAAAGAGAGGTTATAAGGCAGAGGTGTCGAACTGGCTACTGGAATTGTCACTGGACTGTTAATCCAGAGACCCAGATAATGTTCTGGGGACCTGGGTTCGAATCCCACCGTGGCAGATGGTGGAATTTGAATTCAATAAATAAGTGGAATTAAGAGTCTAATGATGACCATGAATCAATTGCCGATAGTCGGAAAATCCTATCTGGTTCAATAATGCCCTTTCGGGAAAGAAACTGCCATCTTTACCTGGTCTGGCCTACATGTAACTCCAGACACACAGCAATATGATTGACTCTTAACTGCCCTCTGGGCATTTGGGATGGGCAATAAATGCTGCCTAGCAGTGATGCCCTCATCCCATGAATGAATAAAGAAAAAAAAAGTGTGAGGCTGTGGGTTTTTTTTTAACAGCCTGAATGGGTGAGTCACCTCTCACAGATTCAGATTTCTGGGTTTTTTAAAGTAATATCAGAAGCCACTGGGTCTCAAAAGAGTTGGGGTCTTCAGTGAATGATTCCCAGCTGTTATTTTCCCTGAAACTTTTCTTGATGTTTTTGCCCCTTGGATTGGAGAACTGCATGTAAGAATCTGTATCTGAATTTGCCTTTTTGCCAAGGAGTGTGTTTATGGGGATGTTACTGTATTGGAACAGTTAATTAGTAATAGGTACTGTTTCTAATATTCGGTTAGCTTTCCAATAGTTGAGTTATTCCAAATTTCTCTTTGTTTTGTTTTTGTATTTTAACTACAGTGTTTAAATAAATTGTATATTGTTTAAAAAAATCCCCAGGGCCTCACAAGTTGTTCACAAAAGTCATCTTCAGTAGTCAGGTCGTCATCTCTGCCTTACAACCTCTCTTCAAAAAAAACCCAGGACAAAATAACCTCTTAAAGTGACAGCCTTGTCACATGCCAATTCATAAGATGCTGTTTAAAACAAAGTTTGCTGTACCACTAGGCTATTGCCTCCCTGATACATTGGTCATCGGCTCCCCAATAATGTACTGACACATTATTAGCACAAGACCCTAGCCGATCAGCAGTACGTTTCTGATCAAATTCTGATCTGGTAGATACGGTCACTTCCCACCTTTTCCAGCCTTCAATGCTCCAGACGTTGGGCAGATTACAATACCCAGAAATGTAAAGATCTGCCAGCACTTCTAAGGTAACAACTGCACTTTTCAGTGCAAAGTTGAAATTGGTATAACCTTAAAATTGCCTTACTCCATGTTACTGCTGTCACTGTGAAAAGCTTCAAATAACTTCTGAAGCAGGGTTTGTTCTTCTTAAAGTCAAGGAGATGAAAGGTAGACCTAACACGTGAATTCACAATGATAAGGTCAGGTAGAGTGAAAGAGGTTTTCTGTGGCAATGGGCCAGTGACCAAAAATCACAGATTTAAATTAATTGATGGAAGAACGAGATAGGAAAGGAGGAGAAATCACTCCACACGATTGGTGATTATTATCTGGAACTTGAAAGGATGTTAGAATTCGACATCATAAAGACCAAGGACACGTAGCTGAAGAGAATCAATTTATAAGGGAAAGGGGAAAAGGTTGGAGTCTGGGACTAAATAACTGAAAAGCTCTTTCAAAGAACTGACACAGGTAAATGGTCAGAATTGTGACTTGCTGTGCTGTAATCTTCTCTGAATCCATCATGTGAACTGCAAGAAATGTGCAAAATTCATCAACTCATGGAGCTTTGAGCACATTTTGCAGAGAATCTGAATCAATTGCTATGTTTTCTTGATCCATCTTGATGGCTCAATGGTTAGCACTGCTGCCTCACAGCACCAGGGACCTTAGTTCAATTCCAGCCTTGGGCAACTGTCTGTGTGGAGTTTGCACATTCTCCCCGTGTCTGCGTGGGTTTCCTCCAGGTACTCCTGTTTCCTCCCACAGTCCAAAGATGTGCAGGCTAGGTGGAATGGCCATGCTAAGTTGCCTGTAGTGTTCAGGGATGTGTAGCTTAGGTGGGTTATAAGGGGATTGGTCTGGGTGGGATGCTCCAACAGTGGGTGTGGACTTGTTGGGCCAAAGGGCCTGATTCCACATTGTAGGGATTCTATGTGAATTATTAATGATGAGATGATTAATATTATTATTGGGTGTGGGCAACATTTTAAAGTTTGCAAATGACAAGAAAACAGGATAGTGAACTATGAAGAGGATACTGATTGACTACATAAGGACATGGACAGGCTGGTAGAATAGGCAAATCCATTCATTTGGGTGGCACGGTGGCTCAGTGGTTAGCACTGCTGCCCCACAGTGCCAGGGATCTGGGTTCGATTCCAGCCTTGGGTGACTGTCTGTGTGGAGTTTGCACATTCTCCCTGTGTCTATGTGGGTTTCTCTCTCAGTCCAAAGATGTGCAAGTTAGGTGGATTGGCCATGCTAAATTACCCATAGTGTCCAGGGATGTTTAGGCTAGGTGGGTTAGCCATGGGAAATGCAGGGTTGCAAGGATAGGGGACTGGGACTGGGACTGGGACTGGGTCTGGGTGGGATGATCTTCAGGTCAGTGCTTTGGTCTCAACTGGAATATTGTGTCGAAATCTAGACATTGCACTTTAGGAAAGAAGTGAGTGCTTGAGAGTGGGTGTGAAAATATTTACGCAAATAGCTCCAGAGAAGAGAGACTTGAGTCATGAGGATAGATTGGAGAAGGTGGGCTGGTTCTCCTTAGGAAAGAGAAGATTGGGGGTGGGGGCATGTTCAAAACCATTAGGGTGGAGGTTTCTTTGCTGTAAAGGTCAAATAGATGACACAGATGTACAAAAGAATCAAAGGAGACACGAGAAAACATCTTTTATGCAGTGTCTGAGAAGGTGGTACAGACAGGAATATAGGAACAGGAGCAGGCCATTTAGCCCATCAAGCCTACCTTGTTATTCAATATGATCATGGATGATTGAACATGTTAGTCTCCCCATTCCATAATTTGGTAATCAGAATTGGTAATTGGTAATTGGTCATTGGTAATCAGAAATCTATCAGTCATTACGTTAAACATAGTCAAAGACTAAGCTTTCACAGCCCTCTGTGGTAGAGAATTCTGAATAAAAATAAATTCTCCCTACCTCGGACTTAAATGACATTCCCCTTATTTTTAAACTGTGCCCCCTGATTCTAGACTCTCCAATCAGGGAACATCTTATCTGCATCTACCCTGTCAATGGCTTGAAGTAAGTTTCAATGAGATCACCTTCCAGTTTTCAACACTCTAGAAACGCAGACTCAGTTTATCCAATCTCTCTGCATAGGACAGTCCTGCCATCTCAGGAGAGAGTCTGGTGAACGTTTGTTGCACTCCCTGTCTGGTGATAATATCCTTCCTGAGATAAGGAGAGCAAAATGGCACAGTATTCCAGGTGCAGTCTAACCAAGCTTCTATACAACTGAAGCCACAGGACACTATTCCTGGACTCAAATCCTCCTGTAATAAAGGTTACCACTCCGTGAGCCTTTGTAATAGCTTGCTGCACCAGCATTGACTCATTGAATCGGACACCCAGGTGTCATTTCTCTTCATCACTTTCCACCCTCTCACCATTTAGGAAATAATCTACACATTTCTCCTGCCGCAAGAGCATAATCTCACACTTTTCTATTTTATATTCTGTCTGCCATGTTCTTGCCCAATCAATTGGTGGCATTTGATTAATGACTCTGGCAGGCCCAATGGACTGTAATGTTTTATGATTTTATGCAAAGAGTATTGCAACTATGGCTTAGTGATATTATCACTGGACTGTTACCTCCGAGACCTGGATAATGCTCTGGGGACCTGGGTTCGAATCCTGCCACGGCAGAGTCTGATTCAATTTAAAAAAACAAAATAAATTTGGAATTAAGAGTCTAATGATGACCATGAGTCTATTGTCGATTGTCATGAAAATCCCGCCTGGTTCACTAATGTCCTTTAGTGAAGACAACTGCCATCCTTACCTGGTCTGGCCTACATATGACTCCAGACCCACAGCAATGTGGTTGACTCTTAACTGCCCTCTGGGCAATTAGGGATGGGCAATAAATTCTGCCTGGCCAGCAACGCCCTCATCCCATGAATGAATAAAGACAAAGATATTGGACTGAAGCGTGTTCTCTTAACAAAAAATTTTCTGTTGAACAGGGATTCATTATCGAGCGTGCAGGAAGAAAGGTTCTGTTATGGAAAGGTTACTGCTTCATGGCATTTTGGATACTACTACTGATCATTACACTCTCTCTGAAGGTAAGAACTAGACAGCGCAGCTGTTATCTCTGTAAATAAGACCAGCCACAAGTTAAAATTCACTAAATCACTGACTAGAGTGCAGCGAGGATATTATGTTTGGTTCTGGGCAATAATTACTTTTCAGAAAGGCCCTGGACAGAGCGTACAGAAGATTTATTAGAATGATTCCAAAGATGAGGACTCTGCATTATCTGTAGAGACTAGAAAAACTAAGATTATTTTCATTAGAGCAGAAAATTAAGGGGAAATTTTAAAGAGCTGTTGAAGATTATGTGGAGAGTTTGATAGAATAGAAAGGGAGAGATCATTTCCACTTGCTGGGGTGTCAGCAACCAAAGGGTACACATTTAAATTATTGGCATAAAGTGGGTGAAGTTTAGGAAAAGTCATTTTACTGATGTAGTTGGTATAATCTGGAATACATCGTCTGAAATGGTGCTAGAAACAGCTTCAATAACAATTTTTAAAAGGGAATTAAATGTGTACTTTTATGGAAAAAGCTTTTTCTTGTTTCACATTTTGCAAATCCCTTTGTATTAACGCCCCCTAATTCTCAATCCTTTCATAAGTGGGAACAATTCCTCACTGTCTACTCTGTCCAGCCATTTCATGATTTTGAAAATGTCTATTGAATCTCCTGTTAGTTTTCCTCTTTTCAAGAAAGATAGTTCCATCTTGTCCAATCTATTCTCACAACTGAAGTGTCTAATTCCTGGAACCATTCTCATAAAACATCTTCAGCACTCTCTCCAATGCGTTCACATCCAAATTGTAGGATTGTGCCTGGGACTGTGTACAGTACTGTCTAACTAGTGTCCAATATACTGTCCAACATCCTCATAACCTGCCCCCTGATTCTAGACTCTCCTGTCTTCCATAAGGACTCAATCCCATTCTCCCAGTTTCTCCATCTCCATTGCATCTGTTCCAATGATGCCACCTTCCGCAGGGAAGGGGTTCTCAGAAATGTCCATTTTTTCCCTCAGCTGAGATGCCCCACCACTGTGGTTGATAGAGCCTTTAAGCTGTGTCCAACCCACTTCCTGCACTTCTGCCCTCACCCCTTCTCTTCCCTCCCAAAACACCAATAGAGTTCCCTTTGTCTTCACTTACCATATCAAACAGAACATAAGCGCTATTTCCACCACCTCCAGCAAGATGCCACCACCAGACACATGTTCACCTCACCCCCCACTTTGTCAGCCTTCCACAGGGACTGTCCCTCCAGGACAACCTGGTCCACTCCTTTTGGAAATCCAAGAACATATATCAACAGCATTGCCCTCACCTACCTCTGTCTCCTCTTCAAAACCTCCAGCAAGTTAGACACAATGTTCCCTTAACAGATCCATTTTTCTAATTAACCCATATGACTATTAACCTTATCCTGAATAATTCTTTCTAGAAGTTTCCCCACCACCAAGTTACCTGGTTTAGGTTAAGATTGTCTTTGCAGGGGTCAAAATCATTTTGTTTCTATAATGAATCTTCTTGGGATTTTCATGAGAGTTACATTTTGTTTTCTGGTGGGCTTTTGTTTCTGTTTTTTGAGACTTTTTAAAAACTCTTTGTAAAAACTCAGGAAGCCTGACTGGAAAGGAACATCATTTATTGTTGAACACCAAAATGGAGCCCCTCCTCATGGCATATGTAGATTAGTCCCAGCCCAGGACAGACCCATCCCTGGGCCTGCTTTATTTTTTTTCAGTTTTTCTTTCTTTTTTTAATTCTTTTATCCAGAAGTGCTCTTACTTTACACACAATCGAATGGCTTTCCCACCACCACAGGGCTGTGATTTCTTCTTGTTTTAAACTACTAATTGCCACCAATAAATCACCCATGTAAACAATCAGGAATTTACATGCTAAGCCCATTATGGGCATTATGGGATGATGATGTGAGGGAGGGATTGGGATTAAATCAAAATGAAATTACAAGAGGACTTGGTTTGCCTTTTTTTATTTGACCTATTTTTCTAATCAACCTGTTCAGAGATGTTATCAGACACCTCTGGAGCAGGTGGGACTTGAACCCAGGTCTCCAGCTCCAGGGGCAGGATAACGGTCAGGTGATGAGTTCTAGCTGGGTAGGCCTTCGCCTGTTACCAAGGGAACTCATACTCAATGAGCTAGGAAGGGAGATTAAGTAGTAATTCCCATGGGCCTTTGTAGGGGTTATCACACTGTTATGAACTCATTTCTTCGGAAATGCAGTCATGAGGTAAAAATATCTTTAATGTTTGTGTAATATTTGAACTCACGCAGAAGTAGAATTAGAAGAATTCATCAATATCCATAATAATGATCAATGTGCCATGAAACCTAAAACCACAGCACACAGCTTTGATACCACAGTATTTAAATTGACACAAGACTATAAGATTAACCTAGCCAAGTAACTGACACTTCTATGCAGATCACCATAAACACACCTTTCACAGGCTGATGAGGTCACGGCTAATGTGTTTCTATCACATATAATTAAAGCTGAAAGATTTTAACCAGGTAATCACAATCCTATTTCCTGCATCTTAAATTTCAACCTCAACTTTAATTGTAAAAAATTGCCACACTTTATTATAAAGACACCTACTATATTTTTCCCACTTGGGCACCCTTTTAAATCTACAACCTTAAGCTACAGATTCCAAATTCATTTGCAAGGAATTCACTACCTCAGGAATTGTTGTTGTCTGTGTATTCCTTTGTTGTCAGGTTTAAAACTGCTGTGTCTCCTTTGTTGCTTTCCTCTCTGTGCCTCACAGCCTCCCTCTCCTCCTGCTGTAGCCTTCATTCTCCCCCTTGCTTTTTCCCCTTTCTTCTCACCCACCCTCCTTCTCTCCCTCCACTCCCATCCCAAGCCTCTTTCCCATCCCCACCCTCCTTGGGGGTCTCCTTCACACCCCCACCACCTCCACTTCTTCCACCCTTCTATCCCTCCAGCAGCCTCCTTCATATCACCACACTAACCTTAGAGTCTCCTTTACCCTGTACTTGCCTTGGAGCCTCCTTGAATGCACCCTGGCTCAGGCAAAATCTCCCCAGTCACTTAGAGAGGTAATTCCTCGTGTGACAGGGGCAACTTGTTTTTAACCATGTTTGTGGTTGGATCAAGCCATTGGCAATTGACTGACAATCTACAACGTTGGTGTCTCTGTGCCATTCCCCTCCAGGAAAGATTCTCCTGGATTCCATATTGTAGCCTGGTCTTCATCTTCGCTTACATCCTGACTTTCGGAATGGGACCAGGTAGGCGCAAGCTTCATCATATGGTTTTAAACTGTTACCCTTAGGCAGTAAATATCCTATGTCTCTTCGAGACATAACTGAGATCTCAGAGATGTTTGTTCTTGCCCTTTCACTGACGTTGAGGACTGGAAGGTATATTTGATCCATGATACTGCAGCAGCATTGTATCTGAGATCGGTTCTGAGGAAGGGCCGTAGCTTTCTCTCTCCACAGATGCAGCCAGACCTGCTGAGTTTCTTCAGCAATTTCAGTTTTTGTATCTGAAATGATTGATTTCATACTTTTGTATCTGGGATGATTGTTACAGAGTCATACAGCATGGAAACAGACCCTTCGATCCAACTTGTCCATGCCAACCAAGTGTCCCAAACAAAACTAGTTCTACTTGCCTGCATTTGGCCCATATCCCTCCAAACCTTTTCTATTCACATACCTGTCCAAGTGTCTTTTAAACGTTGTAACTGTACCTGCGTCTGCCACGTCCTCTGGCAGTTCTTTCCATATACAAACCACCCTCTGTATGAAAAAGTTGCCCCCTTTTAGGTCCCTTTTAAATCTTTCTCCTCTCACCTTAAAAATACGCCCCCTTGTTTTGAATTCACCCACCCCAGGGAAAAAAACTTTGGCTATTCACCTCATCTATGCCCCTCATGTTTCTATAAACCTCCATAAGGTCACCCCTCAACCTTCTAATGCTCCACTGGAAGAAGTCCCAACCTATCTTTATAACTCAAACCCTCCAGTCCCGGCAACATCCTGGATTTTACATTATTGTACCTGGGATAATTGGTTTTAAAATATTGTTCCATGAGATTTTTGAATCTTTTGACTGTGGCAGAGAGCACAGCACAATTGTCATTTTTTAAATTCATTCTTGGGGTATGAACATGGCAGGCAAAACCAGAGTTTATTGATCTTCCATAACTGGCCTTGAGTGGGCCAATGGCAAGCCACCTTCATGAATGCTGGTCCTTACAGCATAGTGGTGTTGTGGGGAGGACAGCAAAGTGATGGGAAATGCTGATGGCGCTATCTAGTGGCACTTTTATTTTTCCTTTATTCATTTATGGGATGAGGACAATACTGGCCAGGCAGCATTTATTGCCCACTGGGCAGTTAAGAGTCAACCACATTGGAGTCACATGTAGGCCAGACCAGGTAAGGTTGGACAGTTTCCTTCCCTGAAGGACATTAGTGAACCAGGTGAGTTTCTCCCCCCGACAATCAACAATGGATTTATGGTCATCATTAGACTCTTAATTCCAGATATTTTTTGAATTGAAGTGCCACCCTCTGCTGTGGTGGGATTCGAACCCAGGTCCCCAGAACATTATCTGGGTCTCTGGATTATCAGTCCAGCTATAATGCCACTAGGCCATTGCCTTCCCTTACTTACTCAGTAACAAACTGCTTGCAGGTACTCAGTTGGCTTTCCACTAGGACTACATCAGTTTCTGACATCACTACAGCCTTGGTCCAAACGTGTTGAATTCCAGAGATGAGGACAGAGTCAGTACTATTGGCGTGAGGACAGCATGCTTCAGCAGAATTCAAGTCAGTTGGAATCAGGGGAAATGTTTCCACTGGTTGGAGTCATACATAGTACAAAGGAGATGGTTTTGGGTTGTTGGAAACCAATCACTTCATTTTCGAGACTTCCTCAGGGTAGTGTCCTAGGTCCAACCATCTTTACAAAAACTGAAAGAACTGCGGATGCTGTAAATCAGAAACAAAAACAGAAATTGCTGGAAAAGCTCAGCAGGTCTGACAGCATCTGTGAAGAGAAATTAAGACAGCAGGGACATGAATTCATCCATTACTCCCTGTACTATGAAACCACTTACTGCAAAACCTCTGATAAATGACCAAGTATTTTCTTTTATCCAAAACTGGTCATGAAGCACTTCAGTTTGAGTTCAATCACAAGCGTTGTGTGGTATGTTTCCAGAGATTATAATTATATATCTATACATGGCTGACATTTTTTGTTTCAATTTGGGTTAAATATCCTAATCATTTTGATCCAATATTTTCTCTGGGGTGCTGACTGTGATACGAGATGAGGAATCCAGAAAACTGGACTGACGCTCCAGATTTGTGAGTTCAAACCCCACTCCAGCAGCTGGGACATTTAATTCCAGTGATTTAAATAAGACTGATATAAATTTCGAGTATAATTCCTGGTGACTGTGAGACCTTCAGATACTTGGAAAAGCCCATGTGGTAGGACATTGGCATCCTTACTCAGCCTGACCTATGTGTGCTTCTTAACTGTCCTCTGAAGTGGTCTGGCAGATGACTGAGTCGCATCTGACTAAAAGCTGACCTCGCTGGTCACACTAATATATAATGAATCTTTTAAGATTAAGTAGTCTACAGAAGTCATCAACGAGAGGTGGCTACACCAAAGATGCCATGTTGCTATTCAGATAGAGATCTGGCACCTATGATGAAACTTTATAATTTGGTGCAACCACTTCTCAATTATTGCAAATTTGAAGAGAAATTGTTACACTTAGCGTGACTATAAAATGTCTAGTGTCATTGCTGCTGTTCTCATATCTGTTCACTGTTTGATAAAGTCTGTTTGGCTGTACTGTGTGAATTTGTGTCACAGAGTCGTACAGCACAGAAACAGACCCTTTGGTCCAACCAGTCCATGCCAAACATCATCGCAAACTAAACTAGTCCCACCTACCTGCTCTCGGCCCATATCCCTCCAAACTTTTCCCCTTCATGTACTTATCCCAATGTCTTTTAAACATTGTAACTGTGCCCACATCCACCACTTCCTCAGGAGGTTCATTCCTCACACAAACTACTCTCTGTGTAAAAGAGTCGCCCCTCTTGTCTTTTTTAAATCTCTCTCCTCTCACCTTAAAAATGTATCCCCTAATTTTGAAATCCCCATCCTAGGGGAAAGACACTTACCATTAACCCTATCTATACCCCTTGTTATTTTATAAGCTTCTATAAAGTCACCTCTCAACCTCCTACATTCCAGTGAAAAAAGTTTCAGTCTATCCAACCTTTCTTTATAACTCAGACCTTCCGTAGCCAGCAACATCCTGGTAAATCTCTTCGGAACCCTCTCCAGTTTGGTAGTATCCTTCCTTTAACTGGGCAGCCACAACTGGACACAGTATTCCAGAAGAGGCCTCACCAACGTCCTGTATATTTATGTGATGGGCTGCTACTCCCCTGCAAAAGAGCCACCTCTTCAGATGCCTCTGAAGCCTTAAGCTTTAAAAACGCACCTGCTGAAAATCTGAAATAAAAATAAATGACACTGGAAAACGTTTAGGTTGTTCGGCAGCCTCTATGGAGACATTTGATGCCTCAAATTGGTGACTTTAGATCTCTAAAGAAAGTAGTACAATATATAATGCTGCAAACTTTTTTCTGTGTTTCGTATGTGAATGTGCGTGCAATGAGATGGCTAATGATCATTTGATTTTAACTCAGGTACTGTCAGCGGAGTCTTACCACTGGAACTATTCACTCAACCCAACAGATGCATTGCCTTAGTGGCTGCGAACTCACTGCAGTGGCTATCCCTCTTTGTTCTGGGACTGGTTTTCCCTTTCATTATTGTAAGTCGAATTTCCATCATTTAGACTAACCATGTAATCATCTAGGAAGGTGGCATTGACTGTGGGAAACCTCAGGCCTGAGCGTTCCCATTATTTTGGATGTTAACAAATAGGCTACACAGAAGCAGCTCTCACCAGTGAGAGTGCAAGAGGAGTCCTGGTCTGACATGCTAGAGGGAGCAGAAACCTCACTCATTTACAGAGCATAGAACAAGCACTGTCAGAGGATCATTCCTAGGTCATAAAAACAAGGTTTCCTGAAATGGACTAGAGGAGAATCTACTGCTTCATGCTCTGAAGCAATTGCCAGCCTCAGGGAGTTTGGAGTATTTGAGCTAGATTATGGTGGTTGAAGACCCCTCAGCAGTTGAAAGACAGTTGGGAATGCAGATAGGACTAGAATCTGGATTGCCCTCCATTGCTGGCAGCACTAATCAAGCAGGAGTTGTGCAGCCCAGTTCACTGCTGATCCAGAGCCATGTGGGAACTTCCAGGAATAAGGTATCCACTTCCAAAGTCCATCCTGCTTTGCCCTCCACAGCAAGGTGAGTTTTATCACTGTCCATGGCCTCTTACTGTCATCTCACTGCCTCAACCTCAACCTCCTGCTCATGTCGGATCTAAGCCTGTTGATGAAATTAAACTTTAAGGCACCTTTCCCTTGTGGATGGACTACAGTGCTCAGAGCTAAGATTACAAAGAGATCTTGCTCAATTGTGTCATTTGGCTGAGGAGTCGTAGATGGAATTTAACTTGGATAAATGTGAGGTATCACATTTTGGTAATACAAACAAGGACTTACACAATGCATGGTAAGGCCCTGGGTAGTGTTGCAGAACAGACAGACCTTGGGGATTCAGGTACATAATTCTTTGAAATTTGCATCACACGTAGACAGGATGGTGAAGATGGCGTTTAGCATGCTTGCCTTTATTGCTCAGACCTTTAAGTACAAGGACTTGGGAAGTCATGTTGAGGTTGTATAGGACATTGGCAAGGCCACTTGTGGAATGCTGTGTGCAGTTCCGGGTCGCCCTGTTACAGGAAGGATAGCATTAAACAGGAGTGGGCTCAGACAAGATTTACCAGGATGCTGCCAGGAATGGAGGGTTTGAGATATAAAAAATGACTGGAAAGACTGGAACATTTTTAACTGGAGTGCAGGAGGTTGAGGGGTGACTTTATTGAAGTTTATAAAATCATGAGGCGAATAGAGGAGGTGAATGACGAGGATCTTTTCCCTAGGGTGGGGGAGTTCAAAACTAGGGGATGTATTTTCAAGGTGAGAGGAGAAAGGTTTAAAAAGGGCACAAGGGGCAACTTTTTTACACAGAGAGTGGTTTGTGAATTGCTAGAGGAAGCCATGGATGCAGGTTCAGCTACAATGTTTAAAAGACATTTGGTTAAGTTCATGAATGGGAGGGATATGGGCCAGGAGCAGGCAGGTGGGACTAGTTTAGTTTGGGAACATGGTCAGCGTGGATTGGTTGGACTGAAGTGTCTGTTTCAATGCTGTATGACTCATTCCCCTTGTATATGTACTCTGTCATTTAATTAATCCCAGTTAGCTTGACTTTTAAAAAAAGAAAACCCTTAAACAAACAACCTTTGAAGACAAAGTAATGAAAAATAAACAAAATGTTTTTTTCTTATATTCTACATCTTTTGATATGATAACATCCTCTCCCTTCTTTTAACCAAAAAAAAACAATGTTTAATCACAAAACAACCTGAACAAAAAATACTTTTATTCCATCTATTCTTATAACTCCTCATGCGGCCAGGCACCCCGCTTCAATCACTTCTTTGAACAAGACCTTTATTTTTGTGGAACAGTCTGACCTTGCAGCTACCCACTTTATTTTGAAAATCTCTATTCTTTCTAACATTTCCTTCATCCTAACAAGATCAATCCTCAACCTCTTCTTCATGACACGAATGTACATTGTCCTAAATAGAACGAGTATCCACATAACATTGTATGGACAATTTATTTCTCAGATTGTCTTTACATAAAATTTCCTTAAGAATATTAAACAAGTACACCTCCATATATAGTAGGAACTGCAGATGCT